TCTCGCCGATGCGGCGGCTGGTGTACGCCGCGAATTTGGAGAGCCCACCATTTTGGTGAACAATGCTGGCATTGCTGTTCCAAAGTCTATTCTCGATACTAAAGAAGAGGCGCTTAAGAAGATCTTTGCTATTAATACCATGAGTCACTGGCTCACCGTCCAGCAGTTCTTGCCTAGCATGATCAAAGCAAACAAGGGCCACATTGTCACCATGGCTAGTGTCGCGTCCTTTGTAGGGCTTCCCGGTCATGCAGACTACGGATCTACCAAGGCATCCGCCCTTGCATTCCATGAAGCGCTTCAAGCCGAGATCAAGCATGTGTACGGCGCACCGAATGTCATGACCACCATCGTGCACCCTAATTTTGTGGCTACGCCGCTTGTGGAAGATTTCAAGGGCCATCTGAAGAGCTCGGGCATCACGTTTCTCACACCAGAGCAGGTGGCCCAAGACACAGTGGCTCAGATTTTCGATAGGAAGGGTGGGCAAGTTGTTGTTCCTAAATCCTCTGGCATCGCTTCGGCGGTTCGAGGCTGGCCATTATGGCTGCAGGTCATTGTTCACGACTTTCTAGGAGCGAATGCGAAGAGGATGAATAGTAAGTAGCCATATAGAAACCTTGACAGTTATAGCCCTACATTAGCCAGTATGCGAAATGTGCAAGGTAACACACGTATTGCAATAGCTGTTTGCGTATTATTTTTTTTTTAAATCTTACAATCCGCAATGCTGGATTAATATTTTAGTCCCAAGGTGTTGACATCCTTAGCCGTTAGGGTTATTTACCATAGCCGTGGATTGCGTTGGCTTCCCTATTGCCCAACTCAGTTCTATTATTAGTTTACGTGCCATGTTTAATACTCCTGGGAACTGCTCCAAGTGGCTGGAGACACTGAAGTGTTGAGCAAAGTCAATGAGCCGCCGCCGATGCATGTCAACATGGTCGCAACGATCACGAATGGCGCGTAGTAGCCTATAATCATTACCGCACTGCAAACAAGGGCGGTCCCGACCATGTTTCCAATAAGCATTGGCAGTGTTCGTTTTCCAGACTCGATGGCACTCACGCCCTGAACTGCCTCGAACCACGTCAGAAGGTAGTAGATGAAGAAGAAGAAGCTGGCACCAAGGCTAAAGTGGTAAAGTGCACGAGACCAGATGATGCGGATTTTGAAGACTCCTGGAGGTAGAGTGTAAAAACGGGTACCCGTGGGCACCCGTGGGTATCCAAGTTTTTCTTGGGTTATTCGTGGGCTACCCATTTTATTATGTAGGTGGTTTAGGTATACTACGAGTAATCTAATAGAAAGATAAGTGCCCTATAAATACTTATAAACGTATAATAATATAAATATTTAATTATATTTATAATAAGTTTTAAGTTTAAAGTATAAAGTAAGTTATATAAGTCTTATTTAAGTACTTAAAAACACCTAATATTTTTAATAAATAATTATAAGTATCTTATTTTCCCTTATAGATCTATTTAAGTCTTTTTTTCCTACCTATACCTACCTAAAGCCTACGGGTAAGCAACCTACACGGGTACCCGTGGACCTTTTACACCCTATAAATGGGCTATCATATCACCCTGCATCTAGACAGCGCGACCCGCACAATGGTCGATGAATTCGCCACCAGCGCCTTTCTTAGTCACAAATTAAAAAATGGACGTCATGTACTTGTGGTCCCCATCTCTGAGAGCGCCATTGCCAGTGCCACCAGTGACAGTCTAGTGACTCTGGCTGAGCGGGCTGGATGGACTGTGGAGCGAATGCAGGTGAGAATATGCATACGACGATCCCTTTGCCAGTTTTAGGCGATTGATTCCACGAGGACCAATCTGATGAATCTTAGCTTCCATTTTCCGCACTTGGCGAGCTGGACGAGGTCGCAGCTGTTGGAACTGCAGCAGCGGCCGTACCCATCAGAGCTTTAGACAGGCTTTCAACGGGAGACAAGTTGGTCTTCCCGGGATCTGGAGAGATGTCCAATATCTCTCACCTGGCCAGCCTCATGGACGCCATCCAGCGTGGTAGACAGCAGGACGTAGACGGTTGGTGCTGGAAGGTAACTGGATTTGCCACCGCGAAACAGAAATTCAAGAACGGCTCGACAGCTGTCTCAAATGCTAAGACAACTGTATAATCTTCAAGGTTCTGTACTGGATATGCCGGGAGTCGGAGCTCTGATAGCTTCAGCACTATTGGTACGACAAATGACGGCGACCATATCGGTTGAGTGGCAATTGCTCAACCACGACTATACAAACAACCTCGTGCAAAAATCCTGGGATTCTGGGTTGAGCATTGTTATAGATGAGAAGGAATGAGATTATTTCCACTAAATAGTAAGTCCTTGTTTGAGAGTATCTTGTGTAACTAGAGTGTGGCCTCTATAAGCCATAACATGAAGAGAAGAAAGGGAATAAAGTCAAAGTAGTCCCGGTCTCGTTCGAGTTTCCGAAGAAGTCGCTGTTAATCTCACTAGCTATTGGTCTTTCGGCGCCGTAGAGCTCTTTGAGCTATTTCGATGCAAAGTTTATGCACCTTTAACATGCCTCCAACTCGTCATGCTTGCCCCAAATTCGTCCCTCTTGCTACCAGCCTGGAGCAGCAAGGCCACCATATCAGTACGGCCAGTCATCACGGCGCGCTGCAGTGGCGTGTATCCAGCACTGTCGCGAGCATCGACTGATACATTACCATTCTCCAAAAGATATTGAAGCATATCTATGTGACCACCCGCCACAGCAAGATGCAAGAGCGGCTCGCCTGCATCTGGTATGGGTTGGCTGGAACCAGCAGCTAACTGCCGTACTAATTTGTCCACGTTGAATGATCTAGCATTTCTACCGGGGCTATCAACAGCCCGAGTATGTACATAGCCCTTGGTCGTTACTACCGGGCAACTGCCGCACAGGGGGCACGATGGCACTGGCATTCGTGGTCGTTGCATCACGTCAGGTTCAACTAATGGCAATACGGAGCCAATTCGTGCCGCTGGGAACTTTGAGCTTGCACTAGTTGGAACATGCATCGCGGTTGGTACCTCAGAGCCTCCCAGAATTCCAGTAGCAGTGCTTGGCACTTGGAACGGGCCATCACCGAGCGTACCTGCTCCGTCACAGGATTCTGGCCATGCTTCAGAGTAGCCGCCCATCCAATCGGCCTCTTGCAACCTAGTGCAAGGCGTCAATAATTGTGAGTCGATAACTCCAGCGCTGTCCTCTTTGGGAGCTATCGTAATGGTCGGACTGCATTGGGTGTTTTTCGCCTCTGACGAAGTGGACGAAACTGGCGATGTGTGCGTCTGTACGGAAGGAGCCGAGTCTTCGCGGATGCTTTGACATTGCTCGTTACTTGAAGCTCCCTCGCGCATTCGTTGTAGCTCTTCCCTGAGCATCTTGACCTCAATCGCGCGATCCCGCATGTTTCGTCCTGGAAAAGAGACGTCTCAGTCATCTGAGATCAGGATCCAGGGTGCCAATACCTACGGTACGCCCGCTGCGCAAGCCGGTTCTGGATCTTCCTCCGTTCTGTTGAATCCTGAAGGTTTGTCCAGTTCTCATCGGGCTTCATCAATTCAAGATAGGTATCTGGTATATTGTTGTTGCGACGCCTCGGCGCCGTAGTCCCCGGAGGCGCCGCCATGTCAAACTCGTCGCTCCTCTTCAAGCTCGAGCTGCAGATACAAATAAATACAACATTGAATGGTGGAAACGGCAGTGATTGGCAGCCGTGTATGCTTTTTGAAAGATTTGTTGACCAATACTGCGGAGGACAGTCTATTCCTGGCGCCTTTCTGGGTTGTGTCCTGTGCTGTCTGACATTTTATGGTCTGCCTGGTACTTGCCATCTAGTAGTATTTCGCGCTCTGAAATCCAAGGTCGGACCATACAGGTATCATGTACATCACCTATTTGGGAATCAAAGATGCGTAAATGCTGTTGGTTTGGTCGCTGGTGTGCTGTTGGTTGGGTCTGGTATACGTCTGGTCCAGGTTTTTGACCACAGCCTACATATGTAGTCACCACATCATACCCACAGACATATACATGTCAACTGGTACTTCTGTACGCAGTCATTAGCACTAGCAATGACAGGCAGCTTGGCACGGACACATCTCAGTCAAGAAAATTGGCGTATAAACCTGGGATACATCTGTGCCATAGAGGCAGCAGGAAAGAGAGTGATGCTTGCAAGATGGCTGTTTGCGCTGCCTCGTCATATTATGGTCACAACAGGCGACAAAAGGAAAGAGTCTGGTACGTCCTGTGGGCAGGACGTATAGTAATCTGCATCATCCGTGGGCCGAGCCAGGCCGATGTAACACAGGGTGGCATCATGAAATGCACACAGCCCCAGAAAATCGTTTGCTAACAAACAACCTTACTACCAGACCAGACCAGGACGCGGCTCGGCTGAAGATTGGGGCAGTCTGGTGTCTCCGTGTCTCCGCCAAGGGCTCAGTTGGCTGCCAGTGATTGAATTAAGTCTGGTATTCAATGTTGAGGGTCTATTTGGCCACCCCTATGGCGGAATTGGCCACGATTTGGCGACTTTTGGCTGCGACCCCCTAGACCGGGTCCCCAGAGTGGTGGCCAAATAAACCTTCAAGTGCTCCATTGAATTGTTCGTCTCCAAGCAGCCTGCGTGGCTGGGTCGTGCCAAAGTTGGTACTGGTGGGTGGGAGAGTAAGCATTCTAAACCTCCATGTCGATTAATGCCAGTAAGCAGCAGAACAAGAATTACTACACCAGCCTATTCCATATTCAGCGTCAATCTCTCTGTCGTCACCAAAAGGGCATGGGCTGCTTGCTACTTCTGCCATGAAGCTTTCCAGCTTGTAAAAACGGTCCGAGTAAATGAGCTTTCGAGAGCTAAAAAGATGGACGGATGGATAGTCGCTTGTATTGCACAGTCTTTTAAATAACTCCATCTCTTTACCTGTGTATTGTGCGATTTGGTTCAACTCTGACCCGAGAACTACATCTTACCTGTTCATCATGGCCAAGTCATCGAGCACATCCTTAAAACGCGACACTTGGCACCTTCCCGTCATTGAAAATAGCACATCCTTGACTGATGGTCTTGGTGGTGTTTCTATTGCGACTATAGTGAAAGTTGCCTGGGCTGTGCTGATTTGGCACTACACAGGATCTGAGAACGTCAGCTTCTTGTCAATAAGCACGGCAGATGATGAACAACAGTATTATCCGTGCACGGTGCTTGTCCACGGTGACTCGCAGATTTCCGCCTTGACGATGCAGGTTATGCAGAATGTGAAGGAAAACACATCAACAGAAACATCTACCGATTCAACTCCATTTTTGCCTAACGAATCGCCACTCTTGAACACCTTCACGACACTCAAAACAGCCAACTGCTCGACACCTGTGACTGAAAGCCCCCCGGACCGCCCGGTCGAACTTTGCATTACTAAAATTTGCAATACACTGGAAATCTCCATTTACTTCAGGCCGAACGCCTTGTCTATGCAATTCGCCGACAGACTTGTTGCGACATTTTCTCATGTCCTTACAACTCTGGCCGGCACCCCCAAGGAGGACACAGTTTCGTCGCTGGACCTTGTGAGCAAGAGGGACAAGACTGAACTTTGGGCATGGAACAAGGCCCAGCTCCCTGAAACCGTTCATGACTCTATCCACAATTTATTTCAGCAACAGGCGGCAAGTCAGCCTCACGCCATGGCTGTGGATGCGTTCGACGGGTGCTTTACATACCGGCAATTGGACACTGCCGCCAATCGTTTAGCGCACGAACTTGTCCGAGAGGGAGTCGGTCGGGACTCCATGGTTCCGCTCTGTTTTGAAAAGTCGTGTTGGGCAATTGTCGCCCTGATGGGAGTGTTGAAGGCTGGTGGTGCTTTGGTCTTTATAGATCCTGCAAACCCCGAGAGCCGGCGCAAAGAGATCATGGGCCAAATTAATAGCAACCTTATAGTTGCGTCTCCCACTCAGGCACACTCATGGGACACTGCGGGCGTCAAGACCATCTCGGTAGATAAAGATCTCGTCAATTCGCTCCCTGACACAAGCGGGCCGCCAAAAACTAGCATGACTCCAGAAGACCTTCTCTATGTCATCTTTACTTCTGGGAGTACAGGAAAGCCCAAGGGCTGTTTAATTGAACACAAGGCCTTCCTCTCTGGAGCAGTACAACATGCTGCCAAGTCAAATTTGACTAGCACTAGCCGCGTGATGCAGCTTGCGTCTTACAGCTTCGATGTTAGCATGTTGGAAATCCTGACCTCATTGATATCCGGTGCCACAGTTTGCACACCGGGTGAGGCCTCCTTGTCCAAAGGTCTAGCCTCGGTCATTAATAGCTACGGCATCAATTGGACATTCCTTACACCCTCTATGGTGAAGCTGCTTTCGCCTGACGAGGTTCCAGGCCTGAAGACACTGAGCTTGGGGGGAGAGCCACTACACAAGGGTGATATCGAGACATGGGCACCATGTCTTCAGCTCATTAACGGTAAGTTCAAGTGTTTTTCAATGGGACGAATTGCGATACAACTATTAACGCATATACCTAACTAGGTTATGGCCCAACCGAGTGTTCCGTAGCCGCCGCTGGTGACGCCAATGTTCAACCGGACGCCGATCCAGCGAACATCGGCCGAGCCGTCGGAGGTCTCTGCTGGATTGTTCACGCGAATGACCACAACAAACTCGTGTCCATTGGTGCTGTTGGTGAACTGCTCATCTCCGGCCCCATCTTGGCCCGCGGCTACTTGAACGACCCGTCGAAGACGTCGAAGTCTTTCATTGAAGATCCCCCGTGGTCGACCGAATGGCTGCGAACCATCGGCGCCAAACCCGAGACCTCGATGCGTTTATACAAAACTGGTGATCTTGCCAAGTTCAATAGCGACGGAACTATCCATTTTTTGGGCCGTAAAGATCACCAGGTAAAGCTAAATGGATTGCGTATCGAGCTAGGCGATATTGAACACAACATTGCGCAAAATGCACACGTGAATCATGTTGCCGTCTTCCTGCCGAAATCAGGGCCTTGTAGTGGGAAGCTGGTCGCCGTTCTGAGCCTCCGCGCTTTCGCTGCCGAAGCACAACCGGGGCAAAAGATTGCAGTAGTGAGCACAACTGATCATGGAGCTTCAAGAGACCAGATCGCAAATGTTCGTCAGTTCCTGAAAGGAGAAGTGCCTGAATACATGTTTCCATCAGTATGGATTGTCATAGAAGCTTGGCCTCTGCTTATATCCGCGAAGCTAAATCGCAAACTAGTCATGAATTGGCTGATCTCGATGGACGACTCAACTTATAGGCGGCTGATGAATTTGGGGCTGGAAGACGAGAATGATTCAATCTTGTCTGAGTCTGAGACTACTCTTCGCGCAATTTACAGTCGCATCTTGAATCTGGCCCCAGATCTGATCCCTGTCGACAGGCCCTTCCTTACACTTGGGGGAGACAGTCTCGCCGCAATGAGAGTTCTAGCCCATTGCAGAAAGGCTGGAATCCGTCTCAGATTCGAAGACATCGTCAAAAGTAGTGGTGACCTTGCCCTTCGAATTGAACAGGAAAGGGCGAATGAGGGAGAAGACTTTAGCTTGCCAATCAAAGCGTCTCCTGTCCAGTCCATGCTCCTTGGTCCCATTCCACTAGGCGACGATAACATCGGGTTTAGAGAAGCCCCCTGTCAGGTTGTGGTAATCAAAGTAGAGCGAGACATTACCCAGGATTACTTCAAGGCCGCTATTGAAGCGATCGTCTCCCAACATGCCATGTTGCGTGCTCGATTCTCCAGCAGCCCTGGCCACTGGGTGCAGACAACCGAGCCCCAGACGGAGGGATCATTCCACTTCAACGTCTACACTGCGGACAGTGTTGCGGATATCACATGTATTGAATTATCCGCAAGACGACGCTTACGGCCCTCGGGTCCTGTTTTCTCTGCAGACCTTGTCATCATGAGATCACATCAACTTGCGATTATGGCTGCTCATTCAGCAGTAGCAGATACAACATCGTGGAACATCATCCTCCAGGACCTTGAATCCTATCTTTTGACTGCGTCACTTGAAAGTAGGGCTAAAAGTCACTTTCGTCAGTGGGTCGGGAAGAGCTTTGGCCGCGACTCGGCGTCTGATCAACTACCAAACAACGGATCTTCGTCTGTGAACACACGTTCATCGAACACAGACGTGTTTGAGGTGGTAGAGAATACGTTTATAATCGACCGAATTGCGACTGACAAACTCCTGAACTACGAAATTCACAAAGCTCTTCGCACGGAGCCTGAGGACATAATTGTAGCTAGCATGCTTCAGGCTTCCAGTGAAGGGAATTTTGCTACAATTTTGCCGGCTATACACATGTTTGACAGCAACCGTACATCTGAGGATAGTGAACTGAACTTTTCAGGCACCGTCGGCTGTTTCAAAGTATTGAACACGGTATCGATTGAGGCTGCTGAAATCGACAGTATCCTCGATATACTTAGAAGGGTCAAGGATGCTCGTCGAATCTCAATACGGAATGAGACAAAAACTCCCGGAGCAAATGAAAACGATGAGCGAAGTGTGAGAAGCGGCGAAGCATTGGATATTCACTTTGAGTATCAGGATCCAATTCATACTGGCACTAGTGTCGGCTCCAAGATTAGGCTTGGAAAAAGCCGTCTCTTTGATTGTCAATTAAGGAGTCTGCACAGCAAACCCGAAGGGACCTTCCTTATCGATGTCTTTGCTAGGCCAGTGGAGACGGGACTACAGATAAGATGTGTTTATAACCCATCTCTCCAGATCCGGGACAAAATTCGGGGATGGTTCGAGTCAGTAGAGCATTCTATCCATAGTCTGATGGATGAAGTGGTCAGATCTGGTACCCAGTACTCTTTGGCAGATTTCCCTTTGCTTCCATTAAACTACAATAGTCTCGAAGCATTGGTTACGGATCGTCTCCCTGCAATTGCGGCTGACATGGACATGATAGATGAGGTGTATCCATGCTCTCCAATGCAAGAGGGCCTCTTGATCAGCCAGAGTGTTTTAGACAGCGGTGTCTACCAGCACTTCAACATTGTAGAGATCACACCTCGCAAGCCCGAGGCAACGGTAGATGCCGCGCGCTTGGCTAGTGCCTGGAGGCAGGTTGTTCAGCGGCATTCGTCTCTTCGCACTGTCTTTATAGAAAGCTCGGCTAGGAATGGCTTATTCGATCAAGTTGTTCTCAAGAAAGTCGATCCTGATATTGTCATGGTTGACTACGCAGTGTTAGAAGCGGATCGCGTATTCAAGGAGCAGGGAGCTTTACTATTCGCCAGCGGAATGCTTCCTCATCGACTTACCATCTGTCAAGTATCCGCCGACAGGCTCTTGATTAAGTTGGATATTAACCACGCTATCATTGATGGTAGCTCCATTGCCAATATTGTTTACGATCTTGTCTTGGCTTATGAAGGTCAATTACCTGTCGACCAGGCGTTCAGATTCAGCAGCTACATCCAACGCCTTCAGCAGCTTCCTGCGCAGCCGGCGCTTCAGTTCTGGAAAGCCTACTTGGTGAATCTCCGGCCTTGCCTTATTCCTCCACTGGCTCAGCTGGAGGCAAAATGTGTTGAAAAATTGGCCAAAGAGGCGCAAGTCCAATTCAATTTAGCCACAGACGTTCTGTACAAGTTCTGCCAAGAGGCAAATGTGTCGCCTGCGAGCGTTTTCCAAGCTGCATGGGCTTTGGTTCTACGATTATACACTGAGTCTGATGACGTGTGTTTTGGTCTTATTTGTTCTGGCAGAGATGTGGCACTGCCAAATATTGAAGGTGGTGTCGGGGCTTTTCTAAACATGCTGGTGCATCGGCTGGTTTTGGCTCAAGATATGCAACTTTCTGAGTTAGTTGGGAGAACGGCTGCCAGCCTCGTGGAATGTCTGCCGCACCAGCATATTGGCCTAGCAAACATCCAGCACGTCACCCAACTCCGCAGATGGCCCTTTTTTTAATTCTGTCATTACTTTCAATAGCGATGAAGGGCTTCAGGTACTGGATGACAGCAGCATTGACGTAAAGAACATCTCGGTCAACGATCCCACCGAGTATCCTCTTACGCTGGATATTTGGTTCTCAAGCGGCCGTGCCAGAGCAACCCTACGACATTGGGTAGACTTTATGACCCCTTTGCAGGCAGAGAGTATTGCTAGCACTTTTGAAAGGGCCGTCCATTGTGTACTGGCTAATTCTCAAATGACCATTGGGGAGCTCGAACTGGTTGGTGAACACCACCTCGCTAAGCTTGTCGAGTTTAACGGCCATAGCCGACCAAGATCTGAACGCCTCATATTCACCCGTTTCGAAGAGAATGCTAGAGCCAAACCTGAAGCTCCAGCAATCCACGGCTGGGACGGCTCATGGACATACACAGAGCTCGACAATATCACGAACCGTTTAGCACACCACTTGCGCAATTGGGGTGTTGGCCCTGAGGTCATCGTCCCGCATTGCTTCCAGAAGTCAGGTTGGGCAGTCATAACAATAATGTCCATTCTCAAAGCCGGTGGTGCTTTCGTAGGTCTTGATCCCAGCCACCCTGTTCGACGGTTAGAATACCTTGTCAGTGAAGTAAATGCGACCGTAGTTTGCACTACTGCTGACAATGCACGTCTGTTCGTGGGAATGAGAAATTTGAAACACCTTGTTATAGTCCAACCTAAGCTCATTGATAGTTTGCCGGATGAATATGGCCATCCTCATACAGAAGTCAAGCCCAGCAACGCAGCTTGCGTGGTGTTTACTTCGGGCACAACTGGCAATCCAAAGGCTATCGTTATTGAACATTCTTCAATGGCAAGCAATTCAGACCTGATGGGTCCTGTATTAAAACTCGACAGTTCTTCTCGAGTCTTTCAGTTTGCTTCTTACACATTCGACGTGTCGAACCAGGACATCCTTACTACGCTGCAGCGCGGAGGATGCGTATGCATACCATCTGAAGACGACCGCCTCAACGACCCAGGAGCAGCTATTGAGCGACTCGGCGCAAACTGGGCCAACCTGACCAGTACAGTTATGAGTCTCATTCAGCCGGCTACAGTTCCGTCCCTAAGGCGTATCTTTCAGCTCGGAGAGCCGCTCTCCCGGGAGGCTAAGAACCTTTGGGCTGAGAAGCTGGAACTATATAATAGTATGTGTAAAAATAACTTCGTTGCAGAGCCGTCTAACATAGCTCTCTAGCTTATGGTCCGGCGGAAGCGGCTGTGTCGGTTACTTGCACCGCTCCGCTTTCAGTTGAGTCTAGCAGCTCAAATGTCGGCACAGCTCCTGGTTGCTCGGCCTGGGTGGTTGACGTGACCGACGTCAATAAATTGGTCCCACTTGATGCCATTGGAGAGCTCCTACTCGAAGGTCCTCTCCTGGCGCGACTTTACCTGAAGAACCCGGCCAAGACAGCCGCAGCCTTTGTCGAGAATCCCAGCTGGGCGCAGAGAATGTACCCTTCGCAGAATCGTAGATTTTACCGAACTGGAGATCTTTGCCGTTTCAACAGTGACGGGACTCTCACTATTCTTGGTCGTAGAGACACTCAAGTCAAAATCAACGGTCAGCGAGTAAAACTCGATGAGATTGCACATCAGATACAACATCAACTTGGAACAAGAGCTCTCGTGTCAGTTGATGCCATCCGCATTGATAAGACTTCCCGGAGTAAGGCTCTGGTCGCCTTTATTCAGTTCTTAGACCACCGATATGAGGAGGCGGATTCTGATGATATTTTGATCTCAGTCGATGAACAGCGGGCTGCTGAGTTCGTAATCTTGCATCACAAGCTTCGAAAACACCTCCCCAAATACATGGTGCCTTCGCTTCTCATACCGATTCGACATACTCCTCGCACGGCAAATGGAAAACTTGATAGATCCAAGCTCGACGAGATTGCTTCCAGTTTATCAGATGACAAACTATCCAGCTACAAGCTGAGGATTGGCGAGGGTCAAGACCTCAAGACTGATGAAGAAAAACTTCTACAAACACTCTGGAGTGATGTTTTTTCCGTCTCTGCAGACAAGATCAGTGCAAACGACGATTTCTTCCGTCTCGGTGGAGACTCCGTAACGGCCATGAATCTAGTGTCAGCAGCCCGTGCCAAAGGAGTGTCGATTACTGTCAGAGACATATTCACATCACCATTACTTTCAGAGATGGCCCTAAAACTAAGAAAATGTGAAGAAAATCAAAGAAATGAGCCATTTGACCTTCTCCAAACATCATCTGAAACGCTCAAGGGCATCAAAGATGAGGTCGCGTCACAGTGTGGTGTTCCAAGTGAGCAGGTTGTTGACTTATATCCATGCTCTCCGTTACAGGAGGGGTTCATGGCTTTATCCGCTCGCCAGAATGGTGTCTATAAAGCGCAGAGAGCATTTCGTATTACGGACAAGGACTTTGATTGGTCAAGATTCAAGCAAGCTTGGGCTATCGTGGTAAAATCAGAACCTATTCTGAGGACACGCATCGTTCATGTGAATACAATCGATCGACCACTTCAAGCCGTGCTTGAGGAGGATGGCGATGTCGAGTGGCTCGAAAAGGATAATTTGGGGGCATACCTCAAAGAGGATAGGGAGCACATCGTCTCTTATGGCAGCGTACTTTGGAAGAATGCGATTATTCAGGATGGTACATCATGCTATTTCGTTTGGACAGCTCACCATGCCATATACGACGCTTGGAGTACTGGTATTTTATTTGACCAGATCAGCCACGCCTATCGGACTGGCACAGTATCGACTAAGGCTACTGACTTCAAGAGGATGATCCGACACCTTTCTTCCCTGAAAGATAAAGATGAAAAAGCCTTCTGGCTATCACATTTCCCGGAAGACACGGGTGTACCTACCTGTTTCCCAATAACGCCATCAGCAGCTCAACAAAATTATTGGCCCGATCAATCATTCCGCCTGACAAGCGGAGTGGTTCGATTCCCTGGTCCCCAGACCATTTCTGTGGCTACTATACTACGGGCAGTTTGGGCGCTGACCATTTCACACTACACAGACAGTAACGATGTCGTTTTCGCTGAGACACTATCAGGTCGAAACGCTCCTATATCAGGTGTCTCTGACATGAATGGCCCTGCTATAACGACCGTTCCAGTCAGGATTCGAATAAATCGGGCGAATGGAACAAGCATCAAACAATACCTGGAGGCAGTCCAAGCTCAATCAATTGCCATGATTCCATTCGAGCACACTGGCCTGCAGAATATCAAAAGGTTTGGAGCAAACGCCAAGTCTGTCATCGACAGTCTGACGAATCTATTTTTAATCCAGCCATCATCTTTATCATCTTCATCTGGGACAGGCATCGATGGCTTGGAGACGGTAATTAATAAATTTGAGGATTACGACAGCTTCGCGCTTGTGATTAAGTGTATTTTGGATGAGGACCGCAGTCTAATCCTAGAGGCCCAATACGACAAAGCAGTCATTCAAGCTGAGCAAATACAGCGCATACTCAAACACTACGATTTCATGATCCAGCATATAGTCAATGGTAGTATTTATTTATCCCTCGCCAAGTACACACTAACATATTACAATAGCATCTTGTATACCCTGCGATACGCCGGTACCTCCAGCCGACACACTTGACAGTATACCTACGATAGATCCCGACGATTTTAGAAATGTCAAGGAGTGGAACAAAAGCCTTCCCCGAACCATAAAAGCCTGTGCTCATGAACTCATTGCGCAGCGGGTGGCGGAACCAGAGCTCTTACAAATATAGTAAATACAAGTGTATTGTGTATTGTATTTTGTATTGTATTGTATTTTCGTGTATTGTATTTAAATACATTACATTACATAACTAAAATACCTATAAATGTATTATAAGTAAAAAAAACCCCTGTTTTCTTAAACTAAAGATTATAAGGCTAATTATAAGGGTTATAAGGAAAAATTTTATATCATTTAAAAGAGCTAAATTAGCTCTTTAAAATGCCCCACTTTTTATTACTATAAGTTATTATCTTAAAAAGTTATAAGCAATTGAAAATTCGCCCCGCTTTACTTACTTTTTATTTTAAGACATAACTTTAAAGCTTAATACCTCGCTTAATAACCACATTTTAAGGTTAATTTATAAGCAAGTGAAAATTCGCCCCGCTTTACTTACTTTTTATTTTAAGACATAACTTTAAAGCTTAATATCTCGCTTAATATCCACATTTTAAGGTTAATTTTTAAAGATCTAAAATCACGTGATTTTTAGCTTTATTTTAATATATAATATGCTTATATAAGCATTTATTTATAATATTAGATATTTTATAGCCTTATAATACATTTATAGGTATTCGTATCCTGTAATGTATTGTAATATATTACAATACAATACAATACAATACAGTATAGTAAAAACTACAAAAAATACAATACATTTAGAGGTCTGGGCGGAACAACCCAACGCAGAGGCGATTTTTGCTTGGGACGGCAATTACACCTACCACCAAGTTCAAGAGGCCACTGAGAAGCTGTCTATCCGTCTCCAAAGCCTAGGCGTCGGCCCAGAAATTGTGGTTAGCCTTTGCTTTGACAAGTCCAAATACGCCGTCATAGCAATGCTTGCCGTGTTAACAGCAGGCGGCGCGTTCACGCAGCTAAGCCCAACATATCCTGCTGCCCGCAGGGAAGAAATACTAAGCGCAATCAACGGAAATATTGCATTATGCTCGCCACAGCATGAATCTTTGTTCAGCTCAAGCTCTTGTTGCACTCTTGTGGTTGACGACGAACTCCTTAACTCTCTCCATCATCATTGTGGCCCTATTGCTACCAACGTTCAACCTCACAATGCAGCGATTGTACTTTTCACATCGGGAAGCACAGGAAAACCCAAGGGAATTGTCGTAGAGCACCAGAATCTCTGTTCTATGCAACACTATCAAGCTGCAAATATGGGCATTGACAAACTGACACGGACCTTCCAATTTGCCGCCAATGTATTCGACAACTCTAACTCAGATGTGTTTCTTACCTTGATGCAAGGCGGGTGCTTATGTATTCCATCTGAAGAAGAGCGACTCAATAACATTCCGGCGGCCATTAACAAGTATAACGCTAATTGGTGCTGTGTGGTGCCTACGGTGGCCGAATCCTTGGATCCCAACGATGTTCCTACACTTGAGCACCTCTGCTTAGGCGGAGAGAAAATTGGCCCTGAACTGCATTCCCGATGGACAGGGAGAGTTAAACTTATAAATGTAAGTTCGGTAGATGACCTCGTCTCTTTCAGGGCAAAAAAGCAAATAACTCGCCTGGAGTTTACTAGTACTAAACCAACAACCAAATTAAGGTATACGGACCAGCCGAATGCACAATCAATACTAGTTCCACATGGCTACAACCAGGCATACTGTCGAATAGTATTGGCCGTGGCCAAGGTTGTCGAACTTGGGTCACTAGCAAATATGACTACAACCAACTTGTTCCCATTGGTTGTGTCGGCGAGCTATGTGTTGAAGGACCAATCGTAACCAGAGGCTACCACGGAGAATCTCAGCTGACTGCCAGAACCTATGTTACTAATCCCAGATTTGCACAGAGTCTTGGTATCTCCAATTTGCGCATGTACAGGACTGGGGATCTAGTCAAATACGCTCCTGATGGGTCGTTATTGTTCATGGGTCGCAGTGACGACCAGATTAAGCTCCGTGGCCAGAGGATTGAGTGCAGCGAAGTTGAATTCCACATTATTTCCAGTGGATTCCCTGCCGACGGTGTTCTGGTTGATCTGATATATCAATTGGGAGATAGGGCAAAGCCAGCTCTTGCCGCATTTATTCAGCTTGATGCAGCTGACAGTACAACCAACATGTCATCTGTTCTGAAGCAACTGTCGGCGTCTGAGAGGCAACGTTTGTTGGCAGTACAGCGACATTTAAGAGACAAAGTGCAGCCATTCATGGTGCCGTCGTTCCTCATCGGCCTTCAACAAATGCCGTTAACCCAGACTGGCAAGAAAGATCGAAGAACACTCCGTGAAATTGGCGCGCAACTCACGAGAGAACAACTGCAGCAGTACTCACTGGTAGGCCCCAGTGACTCTGATAAAACAGCACTCACAGAGGTGACAGACGCTGAGAATGAGCTGCGAACGCTGTGGTCTGAGGTTCTAGGAGTCCCTGTGGACTCCATTCATGCTCATGACCACTTCTTCCAATTGGGAGGTGATTCAATTTGGGCCATGCGACTATCGTCTGCAGCCCGTCGTATCGGCAGAGTGCTATTAGTTGTCGACATATTCAGCCATCCGATTTTGCGTGACATGGTGGAATATTTCAATGTGGCTGTCGGTGGAACTCGACCAGATCACGTACAATCACCGCTCGCCACTAATTCATCTGCTATTGCTCAAGCCAGCAAGAAATGCAACATCAAACAGGAGGAGATCGAAGACATATATCCCTGCACTCCTTTACAGCAGAACCTGGTAGCAGTCACAACAGACAAGCCAGGGGCTTATATTGAGACGAAGATGTTCCATCTGCCTGATTCAGTAGACATCGACAACTTCAAGGCAGCATGGCAGATAGCGGCCGACCTGTTCCCTATTCTACGAACCAGAATTATCCTGGGAATTGACGCACAACCGCTGCAAGTGGTCGTCAAGGAAGAGCTACCTTGGGAAGAATTCGATGTCTCGGTCGACGATTACCTTGCAAGTGATAAACTACATACCGTCGAATATGGCCGTCCACTTACATCGTTTGCTATTGCAACAAAGCCGCGCATATTTATATGGACCGTCCATCATGCCTTGTATGATGGTGTCAGCGCTGCTAACCTGCTGGTTGCTGTCGAGAGGCTGTACAAGCAGAAATCGCTGCAATACTTGCCAATTGCTTTTAGCCGATTTGTAAGCTATCTCGGTGAAGTCGATGGTGACGCTTCAGATACGTTCTGGCATGAGCAACTCAGTGGCGGGTCTCCTAAGAGCTTCCCGTTGCTTCCAAGTCCAGTGTATGAACCTCGCCCAAGTTCTAGATATACCTGGGCGTTCAACATACCGAAGCGTCATAGGTCCTCTGGTATTCGAGATTCAGCTATCTTAAGAGCGGCTTGGGCCATCATTACGGCGCGATATGTTGAATCAGATGACATTGTGTTTGGGGCTGCCCTCTCCGGACGCGACAGTCCCATAGACGGAGTCGAGGGCATAATTGGGCCAACAGTTACCACCGTTCCTATCCGCGTGCGCTTAAACAGTACACAAAAGGTCATTGATTTCTTACATACGGTCCAAAATCAAGCAGACAGCATGATTCCATACCAGCATGCTGGCTTGCAAGCTTTGCGGGGTCTGGGTCCGGATGTGCAAGCCGCTTTGAGTCTTAAAAGCCTTTTTGTAGTCCAGCATTCTTTGGAAAACCTTCATGTCGATTTTTTCCTCGATGAGGTGGAGGGATTTGGGGACTTGATGACAGGGTATTATGACTATCCCCTGGTGATGGAGTGCATTCTCGGCGCTACGACGGAAGGACGTGGTCAAAGTGACATCCAGATCACTATGGATGCCAGATTTGATGCAGTCGTCATCCCGAAGAAGCATATGGTGAGACTTTGCAGACAGTTTCGCCACGTTGTTGAACAACTCGACAATATAGAACAACTGGACACATTGGACGACATACGCCTCGCAAGTCGTGACGATGTTGACCAGGTAAGTTCCTGGAATGCTTCGCAACCTTGGGAGTGCGTAGAAAAGACTGTTCATGATATCATTTCCGATCAGGTTCGCCTGAATCCCAATGCTGTTGCCATTACGGGTTGGGATGGTCAGATGTCATACCTCGAGTTAGATGAGCGCTCAACACGGGTTGCCAAGATTTTGGTGTCAAAGTCCATTGGCCCTGAAACTGTTGTCCCTCTGTGCTTTGAAAAGTCCAAATGGGCCGTTGTCGCGGCGCTTGCTGTCCTGAAGGCCGGGGGTGTCGTCACTCAGCTGGGTGTTTCACATCCTTTAAGTCGCAAGAAGGAAATTCTCGAAGACACCAGAGCAAAGCTTGTATTGGTACCGTCGACAAATATTGGTGACGATTTTGCTGGCATAGTCCCAACAATGGTCATCGATAATCAATCAACAACCCAGCTACTTAAATTTGATACACCCCTTCCAGAAATCAGGCCCAGCAACGCAGCGTACATATTGTTCACTTCGGGAAGCACTGGGCGGCCAAAGGGCATTGTAGTTGAGCACCGGAATCTTGCATCCAGTTCGTTCGCCCACGGCAGGCAATTCAAGATTAACCAGAGTACAAGAGTGTTCCAATTCGCAGCTTACACGTTCGACATCAGCTGCGCCGATGTATTTACAACTCTCCAGCGCGGCGCCACAATATGCATACCATCCGAATATGAGCGTATAAACGACCTGGCCGGCGCTGTTACAAAGTACCAGGCAGACTGGATGTTTGTCACGCCCACAGTCGCCCAGTTAATTGATCCGGACTCGGTGCCTTCCTTGCGCACTCTCGTGTTGGGTGGCGAAGCTCCGACAACTGAGAACGTCAACACGTGGGCTAAGAGGCTGGATCTCATCTTCATCTGGGGCCCTGCAGAGACTACTATCTACGCTTCTGCCAATCCACCCGCCACGCGGGACAGTTCTCCGAAGAGACTGGGTCATGCCTTGGGTTGCCACATGTGGCTCTGCGATCCACACAATCACGATAAACTAGCTCCTGTTGGATGTGTTGGCGAGATTCTGGTTGAAGGTCCTATCGTGTCCCGAGGATATTTACACGATCAGGCCAAGACCCTTGCGGCGTATGTGTATCCAATCTGGGCTGGGAAATCACGCCGTATGTACAAGACTGGTGATTTGGCGCGCTATGTTGAAGATGGTGTTATGCACTTTGTCGGCCGCAAAGATGACCAGGTGAAAGTTCGCGGTCAACGTGTCGAGATCAAAGAAATTGAGTACCACATGCTGGCAAACCCCAGCATTCGTCATGCGGTAGCCTTGGTGCCTTCATATGGACCTCTTGAAGCAAAGCTCATCGCAGTCCTGGCCCTGTCAAATATTTCTGAGCGAGACGTCCCCGAGCATGAACAACTGAAGCCACTACAAGGAGAGGACAAGCAGGCAGCTGGCAATCAGGTTGCTACAATAAGGCAGTTGCTGGAAGAACGTCTCCCTAGTTATATGATCCCCACGGTCTGGATCTGTGTTGAGACGATGGCTCTGACTGGACATGGCAAGACGGATAGGATGGCAGTTGCGAAGTGGGTTGAAAATATCGACCATGAGGCTTATGAAGACCTGCTACTAGACTCCAGCGAATATGATACGCAAGTAGAGTCTGCGGTAGCTGCGTCAAGTCAGTCAACAGTTATTCGAACTCTAGCCAGCCAAGTCCTCGGCATTCCAGCCGTTCCCATGAATCGCTCTTTCTTTGGACTTGGTGGCGATTCCATTACAGCCATGCAGCTCCGAATCAAGGCAAGAGCAGCCGGTATCGACTTGAGCGTTAGAGATATCTTGAAGGCAAAAAGCCTGTTTGGCATGGCCGAGGCTGCAACACCTATCATCTTCGGCTCTCCATTCCCGATTACGGAGATTGATGCCCCTGTAGCTGAAGTATTGGATACACCATTCCGGCTGTCCCCTATTCAAAAACTGTTCTTTGATACTGCTGGCCCACCTCCGGGTTCTTCTACATCGCACTTCAATCAAACCCTACTGCTCAAAGTCAACCGAAAGATGGAGGTCCTGAGAATCCACCAAGCCATTCACGCCATTGTCAGCCGTCACTCAATGCTCCGTGCGAGATTCTCCCGCGGGAATCAAGGTGAGTGGACGCAGAGTCTGACTGACAAGGTGGAGGAATCGTTCACTTTTCAAGCTGAGAGGATAAAGGACCGGAGCAAACTGTACAAGATTCTGGCAGAGCGAAACTCTTCTTTTGATATAAGCCAAGGTCCTATATTCGCCGCCCACCTGTTTGACATCAATAATGAGAGTCAGGGACAGCTTCTCCTTCTCTCAGCCCATCATCTTGTAATTGACGTCGTTTCCTGGCTGGTAATTCTTGGTGACATGGAAGAATTCCTGACCAGCTCCAAGCCCGGCCTACTGTCTTTCGAGAAACCTCTCTCCTTCCAAACCTGGCTACGTTCACAACAAGAGCAGCAGGAAGAAAATTTGGTGCAGGCTAACGGGCTCAATCCCTCCCTGAATGGTATGCAAGCACTTGATCTCACCTATTGGGGCATAACCGACAAGGTCAATAAGTACGGTAGCGAAGTAGAACTATCCTTCTCACTGGACGAGGAAGAAACTGCAAGGCTGTTACGTGGATATGCGAATATGACACCACCTGCTACGATCGAGTCCGTCGATATTATGGTAGCAACTCTGTTGCAAGCATTTCCGGCTGTGTTCATCGACCACCCAATACTCCCTACCGTGTTCTCGGAAGGCCATGGCCGCGAGTCTGCAGATAAGGATGTCGACCCTTCGGGAACAGTTGGCTGGTTCACTACTCTGATACCTCTGCACGTAGTGTCGGTCGAAGATAATATTGTGAACACGATACGGGAGGTGCAGAAGGCCCGGTTACAGACGAAGCTCCTGGGACCACGTTTCAGTGTTGGTAGAGATTACTTCGGCACACGCTCAACCCGGATAGAGATTCTTTTCAACTTCCTTGGCAGCTTCCAACAACTCGAGTCAAAAAATGGTCTCTTTTCAGATGCTCCACTGTTAGAGAATGAGATCATCATTGACAACGGCCCTGAGCTGAACCGCCTTGCCCTATTCGATATTTCCGCCATTGTCACGGGTGGGAGACTAAAGATGACATTTAAGTACAATGAGAGGATGCAACACCTGAATAGAATTCATGAATGGATTACGACGACTCACTCCTTACTAAAGGTCGCGGTTGAAAGTTTAAGCAACTTGGACACATCTGAATTCGAAACCTATTTCGCTAAGCCTGGCAGCGAAACAAAGAAGGATGCGTTATCTTTACAGAAACAGATGCTTGATAATTTGGGAGTTGATATGGAAAATGTGCAAGAGATTCTACCATGCGTGCCTCTGCAGCAACACATGGTATCAAAAATGGCTCAGCAGGGTGGGCTGGGAATTTACGAGATCGAGCTCGCCTTCCACATCACAGGAGACAATGTCAATACAGCGAAGCTCGAATCAGCGTGGCAGCAGGTAATCGACAGACACTCAATACTGCGCACGATTATTGTACCCAGTGATGTACGAGCAGGCTTCCATGAACAGGTGGTACTCGCACATTATCCAGCTAATGTGCCCGTTATTACTTGTGTCGACAAGCATGACGTGGTCGCGCAAGCGCAAGCTTACAGATCTGTCGACTACCAAAATTTCAATCGTCCGCACCATCAGCTTACTATCTTCGAAACTAATGATGGGGCTCACAAAGCATGCAAATTGGAGATAAGCCACGCTCTGAATGACGGCGTCTCGACAGCTCTCATGCTTCGTGATCTGCAACAAGCTTACCAAAAACAGCTCAACAAAGGCCCAGGACCCGCATTCAGTAGCTTTGTGTCTTGGCAAAGCGAGGAAATAACAGCCAAGTCCTCTGACTACTGGAAGAAGTTTGCGCGGGGGACGCAGGCGGCGCCAATACCAGCCAAAAGAGCAGCTGCGACAACACACAAAGTGTTTGCCATAGATGTATGCGTCAGCACTGCGAAAAGGATTCTAAATACTTGCCTCGGACATGGTGTCACCATGGCTACCTTCTTTCAGGTTGTCTGGGCCCTTGTGTTGTCTGCCCATACAGGACGGGACGATATACTGTTTGGTTATATGACGGCAAATCGCGACGTCCCCCTCGAGGGCGTAGGCGATATAGTCGGTCCCCTTGTGAATATGATACTCTGCCGAATTGACAGAAGCAAAGGCAGTCTCGGTGACTTATTATCAAGAGCACAAGATGATTTTTTGGAATCGCTTACACACCAGCATGGTCTAATTGGATCAGTTCTACCCGTATGGAACTCGGTTATGAGCCTTCAATATCTTGATTCGCGAGTGGCACGAATGGGCAATGATGACAGTTTTAGGGATGGCGGGATTCAGTTCGAGCAATTCTGGGGACATGATCCTAATGAGTGGGATATCACTCTCGGCGTTCAGGTAAAATCTGGATCGAGTGGTAATGATGTAATCCACGCCTTTGTTGGATATTGGTCCGACAGTATAAGCGAGGAAGAAGCCCAGAAGATAAGACGGAGCTTTGGGGAAGCAGTGGAGGACTTGATAACTGGGACCTAGATGTAAGTAAATCACCTTGGAAACTTAAACTGGCCGCACACAACATATATCAATAACATCTGGTCGGTACTCCATAAGTCCTTCTTACTTCTTGTAATAATAAAATTATTGTTATAGTTGTGAACCTAACTACCTGTATGTATAACTAATAACTAACTACCTCGCGTTTTGAAGAAGAGTAAGCTACAGCCTACTAGAGATATAGATTTAGCTTAATGAAGAAGAACATATTAAATTAAATTATTTAGAAAATTTCATAAAGAGCTAATTGTAAGACATTTGGTAACGCTATATTTTAGCTGTATTGAGGCTAGCGAACCGCAACTAACCACGCATATAATAATACTACAATACTTTATCACATTAATATTATATAGCTCGAGAATAAGAGCAAGTCTATTGCGCGATACAGTAGTAAAAGTAGCCTAGTTGAAAGCTTAGTTACTTATTGTAAAAGCGTTTAGTATCTGGCGACAGAAACTGGATATTCCCGCAGTACTAGTCAACACATTCAACATAAACTTCAACTACTTCATTGAGAAAGAACTACATCCAAAAACGTTAAAATATAAACGGCAAGCCTTTGCAGTTATATTGTGGCGCAGAGTCGGTTATGGGAATAGTTTATGGACGTAATAGTCCAAGCAAGTTTATAAACTAGCCAAGGGACTACTACAAGTATCTCTTAATCGTGAGGGGATGGAGAGCTTGGGAACTTGGGAACTTCTGGTTCAGAGTCTCATGACCTTCCGTCCCAGAGAATGCCTAATCACCCATTCCCGTCCAGTATACCTCGGGAACACTCCGCGTTTCTATCGGCCCAAGATTTGAGAGACTAACCCACCGCCTGGCCTGCTTTAAGCGCAGGTATCACTCCTGCCCTGTCCATTGTCCTGGCATGAGCCAGAGCAGTATGTCGTATACTGGATGGCACCACTTGATCCACCAAGGCAGTAAAAGATGGAGTTATGGACGTGGTTATAATCGTCAGGCTGGCCGGCGACGAGGAGCGCCTGGTTGATTTGATCGGTATATCTTCCTGCACGTATAAGAGACTCTTGGTTAGTCTGTTGCTAAATTTAACGAGGATGAGTAGGGGAATTCACCCTTTTTGAGCAGGCTGCTACCGCAGTAGCTCAATCCGCCGGTGCAATTATCGGCCAAGGCGAGAGGCGCAATCGCCAGCATCGCGAGAGAGATCAAAGTAGACTTGAACATGGTGTAAGAGTGTTTGTCAGAGGATCTAGGGTAGTTACAAATGGTCTTAATGGTAAGGATGTTTTTTCAGAAATTTTCGGAGGATATGAAAGGGGAGAGAGGAGATTATATAGATCGAGGAGAGGGCATGAACTAGCTATTTTGCGTCCAAGGAGAGTTATGGCTACGTCTTACATACATAATATTGACAATAAACATGTGCTTCCTGGAAATATAATCAGCTTACCTCCTGCATGAATTGTACTTCAAACGAATTACAGGTGCGCTGAAACAACTCGCCAAGATTATCGGAGCAGGCTGGCCAACCAAAGGTATCACTGCTTGTGGGCCGTCAGACCGAACTGCTGACGAGTGCATGTAAGAGTAGTTCCGTACGAGCCGTGTCAGCCGGCATTCTCCTCTTTGAGGAACACACAATGGGCCGATGTGCCGATGGGCGGCCGAGCAAGACGTCAAGAACAGGTTTGGAGCTGCAAACTGTCAAATGTATGTAACGGCACTCTAAGTGAGGGGTATTAACACCGACAGCTGCCTATATTTATTACTTGATCCACTTCTTTCGAATCGCCCGCTGCGAAAACTGGCTTGGTGACGTTGTGTGTCTGCTAATCCAGGCGTGCCAAGGATAAGGCCACTCTAACTGTGTGCAACCAATGTCTCATCCAGTAGTCTTTGGGATTTGCTCGTCTCTTGTGCTTGCTCACTTACGCCACTTCATTGTCATGCATCCACCGAGACATCCATGTGAAGACTGTTACAAGAGGAAGATGAGATATGCTCGATACAGTTAGTAGCTTCACATTGGTGAGTTACTTCGGATTGCAGATTTGGGCAAAGTGGAGTGGTGCTAATAAGCTGATATTCCTTGGACGGCTAGGATCGGGTGTTGATTACGATGCATACTACCCTCGTGGATGATGTGACAAGGGCAGGGTAACTTGGCTTGGAATATAACCGGTTTAATGTTTAATAATAAACTTCAAAGTATTATAGGTCTTTAATTTTTTGAAAAGGCTTTAAGAGATCAAAAATCTTTATGTATATCAAAGGCCCAGGTAGCTCTCGCTTGTAGTCCGACCTCGGGCCTCATGATACCTTCTTTGTTGTGGCCTAACCGTGTGACGGCGCGATGCCCAAAATCGCGATGCCACAAATGCAAGCTTTGCTACACAAGCACCACCGTTATTCTCAACTCGGATCAACACTAAATTCAACCCGAAGGGCATGGGCCGGGTTGTCGACAAGATTTCATCACATTGATACGACAGCTCTCCCGCCTTGCGACTGTACCTCCGGGTCCATCAGCCAACCATAAGGCACCAGTAGCACGTAAAGAAGGTTCATGAGATGTTCTGATTTATTTGCCGGTACGCCTTCAAGTCCCACGGGTAACAACTATCTGGACATGTGCGCCTTGCAAAAGACTGAGACGAGCCATGTCGTCTAGGGTCTGTATGAGGTCTCTCTTTGTTAGAGGCAATTGGAGTCTAATTCGTGAGCAGCTTTCCTCTAGGCGGCTGATGTGGTCGTCCAGTCGGAAAATTTTACCGTTCCAAAGAGAGATAACGTCGTATGTTGAGTCGCCATGCGAGAACCCTTGATCTATGAGTGGAATCTTGGCCTCGACGAGCGGGGCAGGTTGCCCTGCAACCCAAGCGATGCCAGCAGAGTAGGGGCTCGTGTTTGCTTGCGAGTTGGAGACGCGCTCCCAATACGCCAAGGAGACTTTACCTTCTCCATGGAGGACACGTTGAGTCCGCATGTTATGTGCGGACTAGAATAACGGCTCATCGAATCTGAAGTTCTTGTAGCTTCTTTGGTCTAACTAGCGCTTATGATTCAACTGTGCACACTCATTGTCACATACGACCACAGCCGCCTGTGAAAATCACGATCCCTCGGGGCTAAATAAAGAGAGAAGAGATTCCTCAGGAAGACTCTTGCTTTGCGCTATTTGCATATATACAAGTTGGACAATTTCGTGAAAGGCATCTAGTGAGTTGATACAACTAACTAGTCTCTACGCTGTTTACTATCAAGATAGAGAACAAGGCAAGAAGGAAAGATAATATAATACATAAGAGCATGACGACATTTTATAGCTTCGAGCCAATGCAAGCAACCGCCGTTAAAGCGGCTTGCCCGTTACAAATTTATAAGTATAAAAGCCGCATAATCATTCCCTCGCAGTCACGCCCCTGCTTCACGCAAGATTTCTCGTCACCCCGTGGCCCCTGGGCTGGCTGCTTGTCGAGCTGTGCCTTTCCGCCAGATTCACAAGACGCCCTTCACCTCCCTGCTCATCACAACTGCTTCTCGCAAGACTCCTTCTTGTCGCCCGGCTCCCCCGGGGCCGAGGTAGATTCGAGAGGCAGCTCCTGATCCTGGGTAGGGGCCGGCGTAGGCCGGCAGCACGCAATAAGCCCATTCATTCCGTTATAACCAATATATTGTTGATTTTCAGAGCAAATAGTTGACTGAGTACCTCCCTGCTCCTCGCAAGATTTCGTCACGTCGCCCAGTTCCCCCTGGGCTGGCTGCTTGTCGACTTGATTGTTCTCATCGGCAGCCCGGGGTAGGGGCAGCCGTAGGGCAGAGACTAGAGCAGCGGTGCAGACGAATACGATGGCGCACTTCATGGTAGAGGTGGGTTTCAGTTTTGAGATGCTGGTGCGGATGGGTAAAGCGGCAGTGAGAATTAGGACTAGAAGTGATGATTTGAGGCGAGACTTGATGGATAAGACCGGTGATGGCGCGATTGGTACCAGCTGGTGAAAAGACGATTGAACAGGTCGGAAGCTCAGGTATATTTATAGGAGAAAGAATTGGAGGTGCCATGTCATGACCATGTTAGCATGACAGACCAATTTCCATAAAAGAGGCTATTAATACCAGGGTCCAGGAGTCTCAAACACCAGGATACAACTCGGGGTTGTCGTCGAGTAACTGCTACGGTGAAGCCTTGACTCATGATTGTCATGCTTGGGCCTCCGTGGCACAACAAGTTAGACAACTAATATCCACACTTTTTAGTGTGTTTTACATGCAAGACTAGTAATAAGCTTACCTTGATAAAAGTAATATTAGTTTTACAGCTTATATTGAGCGTTTATGGTGCGTTTATCATGAAATTCCCACGTACTATTATTAAAAACAAGTTGTGAAAGTATGTACCACATGTATAATGTAGGTCTGCTAAATTACAGCCTCCCCCACACTGAAATACGAGACAGCTCCGTGGCCACCCTGGAACATTGAAAGTTGTCAAGCGTACAACCGAATGGACCAGTCCTAGCTGGAGATGACTGCGGATTCGTGCGAAGGGCAAATGATGACTCGCGCCGCACTCACCAGCATGGCATGGTCACGATGGTCAGTCTCCTGAGTCCACTTTCCTTATCGTTATCCCACTGGTTCATCCCACCTTGTCCGTGGGGCTCCAAATTGATCCATGATGGAAAAAGTCGCTGCTCAGCAGATATTGGTCCCCATCACCCATGGCTTTGGTCGTCTGTTTCAATGACAACAATCCCTTTGGGTGCGCGCTAAAGTGCCATTTTTGCGATACCCACCCGGTTCCTTTTTGGTAATAAAGTGTCAGAATGGGTCACTTGTTACGGGTATAAATTACGTACGCATAATTAAATAAGGGTAAACCCTTAACTACGAGTGGATAACCCTAATAATAAGCGTACTTATAAAAAGAGCGTATATAATTCTCTCTTTTATAGCTAAATATAAACTTATATATATATATTATTATTATAATTAATGCTTTTTAAAGTGTAATAATTATAAGTTTAAAAGGACTTTAAATCCCTTATAACTTTCACTTAAAAAAACCAAGTATTTAAGGTATTATTTTAATGCTTATTTCATTATATTTATACATTTTATAGTATTTATATATTTAATAAATACTAATATTACTTTTATAAACACTTAATTATTTATTAAGCTTAAGCAAAAGCTTTTAAGCTAATAATATAATTAGTATAAAGTATTAAAGGGTTAAGCTTAAGTTAATAAGCTTTAAAATATTATAAACCTTAATTAATTAAATTACTTAATTAATACGTTACTTATTCCCCTTTAGCTTACGTTAATAAAGGCTTACGTAAGCTTATTACTAGATTAATAACTCTTACTTAAAGTAAAGAATAACTTTATTATATTATATACCCTTTAAGCTATATAATTATAATATAATAGTAAGCTTAAAGCTTACGCGAGTAAATAGATTAAAGCACGTAATATTTATAAGTGGATCACGTATACTATCTACGTATTATAGTAATATATTAATTATAACACGTAGATAGTATACGTGATCCACTTATAAATATTACGTGCTTTAATCTCTTTACTCGCGTAAGCTTTAAGCTTACTATTATATTATAATTATATAGCTTAAAGAGTATATAATATAATAAAGTTATTCTTTACTTTAAGTAAGAGTTATTAATCTAGTAATAAGCTTACGTAAGCCTTTATTAACGTAAGCTAAAGGGGAATAAGTAACGTATTAATTAAGTAATTTAATTAATTAAGGTTTATAATATTTTAAAGCTTATTAACTTAAGCTTAACCCTTTAATACTTTATATTAATTATATTATTAGCTTAAAAGCTTTAACTTAAGCTTAATAAATAATTAAGTGTTTATAAAAGTAATATTAATATTTATTAAATACGTGAATATAATAAAATAAGTATTAAAATAATACCTTAAATACTTAATTTTCTTAAGTAAAAGTTATAAGAGATTTAAAGT